GCCAAACATTCCATGTATAATTGTTGAAATTTCTAGCCCGGGTGAAAAGAAAAACTCTAGAGAGAAGCAAAAGGAATACAAACTGAAAGTCGCTTAAAATCTCACGCCTTCAAATCCTGTAGTGGAAAATAACGACTTTCTAATAAGTAATAACCATATATATTTACTTTTAATTGGACTCGACATTGAGCTAAAAAAGTTAGTGGTTCATGGTTCAATTATTAATTCTCTAGACTGTTGGTGAGTCGTGTATGGACCCGTTCATACTTGTGATTAAAATACATAAAATAGTATACTAATTAGGGTTATGGAAGGAGAGTGAAAAATGAAACCAAGAGGAAGTAGATGATGGAAAGAATTGGATTTATGAATTCAAGTGAAATCTAAACATTGGATCAATATGTAAATTTAAAAAATTGTAGATACGAAAATCTCATAAAATTTAGATACCAAAACATGATTGTTCAATGATTTTACATTAAAATTAAATTTGGAGTATCAAAATGTAAAATGTACATTACAGTGACTAATTTGTAATTTGTAATGTAAATAAATTTGGGGTATCAACATGTTATTGTTTATGCAACAGTAACCTTACTTGAGGTTTATATATATTAATAATATATTGCTAGAGTTAATCTCATCCAAACAACAAAATAAAAGTTACCAAGAAGATCTGGATTCCAAAAGACATAATTGATCCTCTACTTGTCTTCTTTGGTTCAGAAATGCTGAAAAAATCTCTAGGGGTCATTTGGATGAATTAATTAAATAACGAGACAATTTGATTAATTGTTTCATTTTATAAAAATGAATCATTTAAAACGAGCCACTTCAAATTGTGTGCTCACACCCCAGATAATTGTAATTGCCTCAAAACAAGTCAATTTGAAATTCTCAAGGCAAAATTGCTTCATATAAATTTTGTGATGCCAAACGGATCAGATTGACTCAAAATGAAACAATTTTAGATCAAATTGATATATTAGAATTTCTCATACAAACAACCCTTTAATCTTCTCTCGAATATTCAAACGCATGTTTCTAGTGTTGGGATATGTGGCAAAAAGTTCCTCAAAGAATGGCTCAAAAGTCAACACATTTTATAGGAGCACTTCTACTATGCTATATAGCATTGGTGTTTTAATGTACAACTCAAAGTTGTAATATTATATTAAATGTATAAGTTTAGGTTGTACCATAAAACAATTTGTATCATTATGTTATGGTACAACTTTACAACTTGAAGTTGTATCATGACATAAAGGTACAAGTTCAAGTTGTACCATAAAAGAATTTGTACAAGAAGTATAAGTACAATCTAAAGTTGTACCATAACGTAAATGTACAATTTTAAGTTGTACCAAAAAAGCAAAAACCTATGACACCAATAGTATATAGCATTGTAAAAGAATTTGTACAAAAAGTATAAGTACAATCTAAAGTTGTACCATAACGTAAATGTACAATTTTAAGTTGTACCAAAAAAGCAAAAACCTATGACACCAATAGTATATAGCATTGTAAAATTTCTCATTTTATAGTCCGTCTTATGTCCATGTTGAATGTCCAAAATTGACCTTGACCACCAAGCTGGCCTAGAGCACAAGTGCGCAAGCCTCCAAATTTAGGCATTTCAACATTTTTCAAAGACACAAAGACGGAATCTCTTGTTGAGCATCAACGGTTCAAGACATAACCATGCTGCTAGATGATGGAAACTTTGGACGCAACTTTCCTCAATATTGGCCATTGAACTTCACAACTTTTGTTCCAAATTCATATGCTATGTCGAACTCGATAAAATTGAGAATTTTTGCTAGCAAGAATGAGACAATTTTTTTTATGGATCGGTTTATGTTATATCATCAAAGAAGGATTGTTGACAACAACTCTTGCTAATTATGAACTATACATATGGTTTATGACTACTATGAAACCCTAGGCTAAATTAACCAAACAAGCATAAACACTACCAAAATTTGTCTCTAACGTGATCATCAATCAGCACACTAACTTCATTCCTTATCACCTTGCACAACACCTCACTATGCGTCTTTTCACCTGCATAAATCTACCTACAACGTCCCGCCAGATTTTACTTAGAAGTGCACACCATATAAGCTTACCTGCATCTTTCATGGTGGAGGTTGCTAGTGCAGAAACAGGCTCTGGTTTCCTGGATGTCAACGTCCACGCAGCCGCTTCTGTGGGCATCATCAACGAAAACACCTTCTTCTAAGCAAATTTTGACCAGTTCTTTCACTGGGATGAATACGATCGATATCGAGATCGATTACTGCTATTCTCATCTTCCTCCCTTCGCTCTTCCCCTTATCTAGGGCTTTCCGGAACTCGATGATGATTTTATCGCTGAATTGGGTGGGGAAGCGGAGGAAAATGGCAGCGACGACATTGTCGACGAGGATGGAGTGCGAGCAGCAGCCAAAGCTAGCTGTCATTGTTGATGCGTGCAACGATTAGGTGGCGGTGAGATAATTTGTAGGAGATGCTCAGCGAGGAGAGGTACGGCTTTGTTTTGGTGCTGATACCCGATACACAATTTTCATTTAAGTGGTATCCTTCCCCAATTTGTCAAAGTTTAATGGTATCCCAACCATTTTACCCTTCCAAACAACATTAACCAGACTTTCTTCACAGAGAACTTAGCCATTTCCTCTCCTTGCCATAAAACAGTTTCATCCCTCAAAGAGAAATACTGTTGAACCATAGGGCGTATCTTCAAGAGTCGTTTCCGGCACCAGAAACCAGAGGAAGTCTGATATTGCCAAAAAGATCGACTCTTAAGCTTATACTTCAGTAGCCAGGAAATCCACAACGAGCCATGTTGCATTAGGATAAACCAAATATGCCGAGATACACAAGCAATATTCCAAGAACAAAAATCCGTTATACCAAGCCCTCCCTCCTTTTTGGGAATGTTACCTGATTCCTCGCCACACTATAGCCTTCACCTTACCGGCTTACCCCCTTATCCATTGCCCTGGGGAAAGGAACCCCCATGTACCTCACACGAAACACACCCAGTTTGAACCATGACCTCTTAGCCATCCTATTCTTTTGGTCCACAGTGAGACCAACACAAAACAACTCGCATTTCCTAGGGATAAAACCTAATCCCGAAAGTTGCTTAAATTTCCCTAGAACTCGCTGAACATACTGCAAACTCATATTGGACCCATCTGTGAAAATAAGTACATCATTCGTGAAGCAGAGAAGTGTCAGATGCACCTGTTTACAGTGTACACATAGGCTGGTAGGGAAGATGGTCGTTCCTAGCAGCCTTATCTAACAGTCAAACATAGGAGTAGTTATGCACATTCGAATCCATTCAATGAAGAGACTATGAAACCCCATGGCAGAGAAAACACACAAAATGAAACCCCGATCGATTGAATCAAAGGCCTTCATCAGGTCTATTTTCAGAATGAGACACTCTTCTCTCTTATTTATCTCCAAATAAATGGAGGTGGCCATATAGTAAAAAACAGAAATAAAATAATCAATACAAAAGCATAAGAATTAGATATCGTTGATCACTACCCGATTATTATTACTTCCAATATGCCACATTTCACTTTCATGATCATGTAGCAATCGACATTTTCAACCACATCCCAATCCCGCTGAAACATAAAACAAAATTAATGATTGCAACAAAATCTAAATAAACTTTAGGATACCATACTATTGAAGGTTTTGGGGTTTCGGGATGCTAATTAGGAATTCGGTGAAAGAAATGATGTTGATTAGGATTTAGGAATAAAGTGTCTTTTTATGGGTGTGTGTTTTTAAATAAAGATTTGTTTTATAAATTAATGTCTCGAACAGTAGTTAAATAAAGTGTTTTTAAAGAAAGATATTTCTTAAAATTAATATCATTATGATTGAAGCTCAAAATGTATTTTTTCCTTTGTACATTAAAGGCTAATAACCATTAGAGTAACATCCTGAACACCTGATAAGATATTGTCCGCTTTGGGCTAAAAATCTCACGAATTCCGACTTGGGAGTGCATATCAAGGTAACTTCACATAAGGTCATTCATCCTTGCAATGCTCTACGTTGAGCAACTATAACTTCAGAGTTCTCACAAGCCCTCCTTCATTTCACTCCAAAACACATCTTGTTAGTTAAAGCTAGTTTTTTAGTTATGAATCATGGATCTCTCCCGATACTTTGTCGATGTAGGGTTCACTTAAGGAGTTACAATTAGTCGCAATAGGTTTCTTTTGTTCCCTCAAGAAATTTTTGTTTGTTTGTCTCTAGACATTGATTTGTCTTTTTGTATTGCCAACAAAGTTGAAGCACCATACGAACAAGGACTTGGTCTGGTGGTAATACCACTAGTCTAGAATTGGAGGTCCTAGGTTTAAATTTTTTAAGTAGTACCTTAATGACAACAAAATAAAATTTATATCACCTTTAAAATAAACAAAGTTGAAGCAGTGTTGATACCACTAATGATAGAAAAGAGTAAGTAAATTATAATAGGGAAAAGAGTGGAATCAATGTCAATAAAGTATGATTGTGTAGAGAGAAGAAGCATGAATTTTTTTTTTCAAAAGGAGTGATGGTGAAAATTTAAAAATAAAAAAAATTATTTAGATGAAAGAAAAAATATTGGTGTGTGATTAATTGATAGACGATAATAATTTACGCTTATTTGTGAAAATTATTTAAATATGGAACGGACCAACAAGTTGGACATGAATGAATGCTAGTAAGTAATTACAATTGGTATACATTAAGTACGAAAAATCAATATAATGTGCTTGATAATATGTTCCAATTTCCAAGTACACGCAGCTTAAACAAATATGGCTTGACAAAATGGGAAGTGTACAAGGCATGACTCATGAGCATGCGTTTTGCAAAGAGTAAATGATATACTAAAGTGTCTGTCTAGAATGGCAATGTAAGCCCATCCTGGCTTTGGGCCTGAGCCCATAAAGTCAATGATTCAACAATGAACAGCATCAAGAAGCACTCTTCAAACTGTACGCCCCATCGACAACGAGGTTCAGCCCACTAACGTACTTGGACTCGTCGCTCCCCAAATACACCGCCGCCTCCGCCACATCCTCCGCCTCCAGAAACGTCCCTTTCAAGTTGGCCATCCCAGCAATCACTCCACGAAACCCATCCCCGTCCAGCCCGGACTCGCCAATCGCCAGCGGAGTCGCCACCCCAAACGGCGAGACGCAATTCACCCGAACCCCGTGCGGGCCCAACTCCACGGCCAGGTTCTTCGTCAGGCCCACCACCGCATGCTTCGAGGCGGTGTACGCGTGCGGCCCTTGCCCGTAGCTGCGCGTGACGCTACTCGCCGTGAAAACGATGGACCCTTTCCCCGCGGGGACCATCACCCTCGCCGCGTGCTTCGCCGCCAGGAACGCGCCGTACACGTTAACCCCGAAAACGGCGTCGTACGTGGCGCGGTCGAAGGACGAGATCGCCGGGGATTGGTGCTCCATGATGCCGGCGTTGCTGAACATGATGTCCAGCCTGCCGTGCTCCGACACCGCCGCGTCGACGGCGCTCCGGACGTCCGACTCGCTCGTGACGTCGCAGCGGATGTAGGAAATCGCGTCGCCGGATTCGGCCGGCTTGATGTCGGCGACGAGGACCTTTGCGCCGTGTCTGGAGAAGAGGCGGGCGGCGGCGGCTCCGATGCCGCTGGCGCCGCCGGTTATGAGGGCGACCTTGTCTTGTAGCCTCAGGATGGAAGCGCCTTTCATGACTAAAAATTAAGAGACGTGTGTGGGTGTGGCGGCTTGGTTACTCGCTAGCTATGTGTGTTTTTGTGTATGTATATATATATCATCAAACTGGAAGCAGACAAGATCCTGAAAATTGGTTGAGCAATAGAATACGAAAAGGTCCATGTGGAGAACCGTTGACCCGGATGCTCCAATATGAGTTGAGTTGGCCCGTTAATTATAACTGTCCTTTTTTCACACCCTCGATCGCTACGCTATTTCCTGACATATATAATGGGGCGACTTAATTAATTAGTGCACTTTTCTGAGTCGTCGATCTAGGAAGTTGGGAAATGTTCGATGGACCTATTAAATGCTTGTATATGGGATGATCTGATGCGTGCAGAATGCTAACACAGATCTCTTGATTGCCTTCTTTGGCTTCGATTTAATAATTAAAAATATTGAGAATTCATTAATTGCTTTCGTACCTTGGCCCCTCCAAGAATTAAAAATATATTTAATAAAATAATGTTAGTAGTTTTTTTTTGGTAGAATATAATGTTAGTAGTTGAGATGTATGATGTAACAATACATAAAGAAAAATGAAAAAGAAACTAGAGCAGTGATCGGGCAATTTATTATCTAAATGGCTAAACATCGTCCTGATTTTACTGATATCGCCCTAATTTAAATGTGAAAATTACTTAATTGCCCCAGAAAAAAAAATCACAATCCACGCTCACATCGGTGAGAAGACATCCAATCTATCGCCGCCGTCCACCGTTGCCACCACCAATCTTGCCGCCTCCGTCCTGCTGTCTTCGTTCTCCTCCAATAGCACACCCCGCTTTCTTCATCGTTCTCACCATCGCGGCGGAACTTTTCCTCCATCATGCCGTCCACCTTCTCCGACATCCTCTCTCGTTTCGGAAATGACGAAATATTATTAAGCATCCAATTTCTCCATTCGTTGTCCCTTAAATTGTCAAAATGAACATATTAATTTTGATTAGGTGAGGTCGTGAGGGTAAGAAAGAAAATTGAATAGTGGGTTGGTGGATGATTATATTACTTAATACCATTGTCTGCTTTTACCTTGTATTGCATTATTCTTCCTCAAAACTTTGTGGTGTCTCAGTGTCTCTCCTTCAAAGATTTTGGTCGGCTTGACTTTTAACTTGCCGCCGACCATGGCATCAACTCCTCTCCCTACGGTGAATGGCGGATTGATAATGATAATATCGAAAATGATGTTATGTTTTCACCTGCCATTGTCGGTAGTGGGTTGGTGGAGGCGATAGCGCGGCCGGCGAGCAGTGGTGACGATGAGTAGTAGCGCCGGGTAATGTCAACTGGTAATTTTTTTATAGAGTATGTTTATTAAAATATAAACTCAACAATAAAAGAAAAGGATAAATATGTATTTTTTGACTGAAAAGTTAGGGCGATTATGATAAGGGTAGGGCAACGTTTAACAACTCCATTATTATTTGAGAGGCTGAGAGATCAGAACCCACAGAACAGTGATCGGCAAAATGAGAAGAAACTACAAGAAATTAAGGTAGCCATAAATTGGTGCTATGTTCATTAATGGTCCAAGACTCTTTTAGTAGTAAGTCAATTATGACTTGTCTAGGTGTGTGTTTGTGTAATTGGAGTGTGGAATGGAGAAAGGAAACAAAAGAGGAAAGAAAGAAGAAGAGTCGTAACATGTGAGAATGGCAAGGTTGTCAACCCGCGGGTTGACCCACGGGTCGACCCAATTTGACCTTGACCCGGTGAGAAAAACGGTCTGCAAGCACCCGCCGGACCGACCGCTATAAGGTACCGGGTTGGAGGTCAAATTGTGTCATTTTTTTCTTTAGTTTGCGAAATGTGCCTATTTTCCAATTTTTCTTTTCGTCTAACTCAATCTTTGGAATACTAAGTTGAACATTTGAATATTTATGTTATATAAGTGTTTGAGCCACGGTACCCGCCGGTATAGCAGGAACCTCCTTTCTCCTGGCGCCTGCCTGCACACACAAAGAGGAGGGCGCCTGGGCTCGTTAATCCTCCGACGCCCAAGTTAGTTCCCTTAAAGAGAGAAGTGTTCTCAAGTAGTAATTTTGGTGAGAGAATCCAACCTGTGTAAATACTACCAACTGCTCCTATTTATACTCACCGAACTCGAGGTTGATCTCCTCCACGTCACTGCCCCCATTTAATGCTCTGTGTCCTCTTTGTGAGACATCCAATCGCCTTGTCAGGCTCCTGACACGCGACAGGCGCCCGCAGGCAGTGGACCACCTGACAGCTGGTCCTCTCTTGGCTTTTAGTGTTTTGTCCTTTTGGGCCCTTCCTCTTGCTTGGGCCTAGTGGTCTTTGTTGGAACCATTTTTTGGGCCTTGCCCCCCAATTCTACTTTTTGAGAGCCTAGACTATGAACCGTTGGGTAGTACCCCCAACAATTGCCCCCCCAGTCAGGTGCTCATGGTTTATCCCTTGAGCGCCTGGCTGCTTCTCTTGTCGCGGCCTTGAATCCTCTTCCTTCATAGACGCCTACTCTCTACTGGTGCCCCCTTGTATTCTTGTGGTTTGTGGGCGTCCTTGCTGACCACTGCTCGCTTGTGGACGCCCAGCCTTTGGTGATGCTCCCTGTTTTGCGCGCTTCCTCTTTGTGATCCTTGGGCGCCTCCTCATGCAGTTCATTGCGATGAATGTCCCTAACCCTTATGCCCCCCTCTCGGGGGGACTTTTGACGTGGTCCCCACGCCTTGCTTGCCGGGGAAATTGAAATTGCGAATTAAAAGAAAATTCGAAATTGGGGTTTTGGAGATTTCCAAAAAAGGATGGGGTGGGGGAAGCTCAAAAGTCCGCCCGAGATATTTGGCACGTTTTTTTTTTTTTTGTAAAGGTGGGGGAAGCTGGAGAGTCCGCCCGTGGTGCTGACACGTGGCGCGCGGCGTGGGGTTTGGCTGGGATCTTTCTTCCCTTTAAATACCTCTCCCCCCTCTGGTTTCTGTCACTTTCTTCCATTTGACCTCTCTCTAAGATTTCGCTCTGACCTCTCTCTAGATTCTGCTCTGCACTCTCTCTTGTCAGACTCTGCTTTCGTCACACTTCTTCTTTACGTCCGTCCAAAATGTCGTCCTCACAACAAGACAAGGCTTCTGGACAAGGCGCCCCGGGCGCAGGCGCATCTGGTGCGGGCGCTTCAGGCGCAGGCGCCTCTAGCGCAGGTGGTGATACAAGGCGTCCGGCCCAAGGCGGTAAGGAGCCCTCTTTCGTTCATTAGTTTTGTTGAGTTTGTTCTAGTTACCTAGGGTAGGGCGTCACTTACCCCGCGTCCCCGTTGCGCCTGGATCGTTTGTTGGTTTAGAGGGGGCGCCTGCTTCGACATCTGCCGGACCATCAAGTTCCTCGGCGCCCGGATTTATACCCGCGGACGGATCCTACAAGATCACCACATGGGAGAAGTGCTTTCCCCCGGACCATCTACCAGTGGAGACGACCCATTTGCCCTTCGACGTGGCCGGGCCGAAGCATGGATCGACGGTCACTCTGGCGCGCGTCCATGAACTCGTCACCAGTCTGCAACTGCCGCGCGACTGGTGGTATGCGCCCCCTTCCCCTATCTCGCGAGTGGGCGTCTGCGGGCCCAAGTGGATCGGGGTGTACCAGGAGTATTTTCGATTCGGGCTGCGCTTCCCCCTCGACCATATTATGGAGGGGATTCTAACGACGTGCGGTTGTTCGCTGGGGCGCCTCTCTCCCTCCGTCATTACGATAGTAATTCTATTCAAGTTGAGGTGTCGGGAGAACAATGTGGAACCCACCTTTAACTTGTTTAGGTACTTTTTTAAGATGGCGCCTCTCGACAACTGCTTATCACTTCAGAAGCGGAAGAAGCCCCCGTACCACTTCGTATCCCGATGTCCCAAACTCAACCGTAAATGGTTCAACGACTTCTTCTTTATGAAGGCGTATCGGGACTCGTTTTTTGAGAGTGGAGGCGCCTTCCTTAAGCAGTGGGAGTTGGGACATGTTGAGGAATTCAACTCGACAGTGGTACTATCCCAAGCAGAGAAATAAGGCGTCCGCTTGATTTGCGCGGAGCGTGTGGACTTGCGTCCTGCGGAAAACCGCCCTCCCATTATTCAGGCGTATTATAATGATGGTCTGTAGGCACCTAGGTGTTCTATATTCCTTTTGTTGTGTCTTCTTTGTACTTTAACTAACTGTGTTCACCATTGTGCAGGGTCGGATTATTCCAGCATCGCCAAGCTGATGAAAAGTCGGCTTGCTGCAATGGCGGCGGGTTCACCGCCGCCTGTTCGACAAGAGGCGCCCGAACCGGCCGCCAACCCATCACAGGCGCCCACCGGTCCCCCGAAGAAGAAGAAGAAGAGGGCGGTGAAGGGAGGCGTCCTACGCGCGAAGACTGCCAGCGTGGCGTCTTCCGCCCCGGAAGAAGGTGAGGGGGCGCCTAACTCTGATCCAGCGGAGCAAGAAGGCAACTCCACTGAAGAAGAGGAAGAGGAGCCTCTGCTCCGTCGGGGGAAGAGGGCTGGTTCTCCCTTAGCCTCTGCCAGCAAGAGGGCTGACAAAGGGAAGGGAAAAGTAGGCGTCGCTACTGCTGCCGGCGAGGAGGCGGAGGAGGAGGAGGACGCCCGATATCACCTCAACGAAGAGGGGCGCTATGTTGGCCCCGACGGGCGCCCTCCCATCTTTCAGCCACGTCGCGCCGATGTTGGGCGCATCAACCTGCCCTGTTCTCCCTTGGTGGCCGTCGACCGAGGCTGCTCCATGGGTTTGGCGATTGCGGCCGCCAAGTCATGGCAGGTTCCGTCCGAGGTGAACGGGGATCACCTCTTCGCTGAATTGGCCCAAGTGGGCGCCAAGGTATATGCTTTTCTACTTGCTTTTTCTTGTGAATGTGGGAACGCTCTGTTACTTGTACAATTTGCTGACTCTTCTTATTTAAATTATGTAGATCCTCCTCTTTGTCGAGAGAGGCGCCCGACGCCTCAATGAGTCAAAACGAGAGGCGCTCG